CACTTTGCCTTGGATTCAACAACTTTGAAAGTACTGAAAGTTCCAGTCTGAGCTGTCACTGTGGTCCTGGAATAATCCGACATTCCTTACCCCAAGAAAGAAAAAGCTAGACCAAACCAGCCCTTCCATCCAGGAGTACACAGAGCTCTCAGTCTTAACCCTGGATCAAGTCAAGAAGCAGGCTGGAAGAATGAGGAAACAAAAGAAGAATCCTACCATTAAAAATCTAGAGAAAAGAGAGAATAAAAAATTGGAAGGGGGAGGGATATGTTAAGGGAGGAGTTTGTCCTAAGCAAAACAAACACTAAGGATACACAAAAAATATTCATAGCTCTTTTTGTGGAGGTAAAGAATGGAAATTTGAGGGCGTAACCTTCAACTGGAGAACTGCTAAACAAATTACATAATATAAATGTGATGGAAAACTATTGCATTATAAGAAATGATGAAGGGGATAGTTTCAGAGAAATCAAGGAAGACTTGTATGAACTGAAACAGAAAGAAAATGAACAGCAACCAGAAAATAATTTATACAATAACAACATTATAAAAGACAAACAATTTTGAAAGACTTAGGAAATTTGATCAATGTGTGACAACTATGATTCCAAATGTTACTACTTTCCACCATTTCAAAAAACGCATCACCTCCTTTTAGAGTAAGAATGAGCTGTGTGTGTTATGTGTGTGTACATAGCATCTAACACCACATTTCACTTCATAATGAAAATGGACATATGGTCTAAATATAAAAGATCACAATACAAATAAACTACAAAAGATTAAGATCAGATACCTTTCATGGATTTGCCTATTAGGAACAACTGAGAACATTTAAGATCTACACAAAAGATAGAGGAAATCAAAATAATCAGTCAATAAGCATTTATTAAGTGCCTACTATGTATCAGGCACTGGTTAAATCCTGGGGATACAAAGAAAGGCAAAAGATAGTCCCTGCTTTCATATATGCAAACTACATATAGATATATAATAAATTATAGATAACGAATACAAGGTAAGCAGTATTATTAAGGGGGATCAGGTAAGGCATCTTGTAGATGGTGGGATTTTATTAAGAACTTGAAGGAAGCCATGGAGATGGAAATGAGGAAAAAGAGCATTCCAAGCATTAGGGACAGCCAACAAAAATTCCTGGTCAGGATATTGAATATCTTATGCAAGAAACAGCAAGGGGATCCAGCATCACTGGACTAAAGAGCATGCTGGGTTTTGGGAGAGGTAAGAAGATTGGAAAGGGAGGAAGAGGCCAGATTATGAAGAATTTTGAAAACCAAATCAAGGATTTTATATTTGATCCTAGAGGTAAAAGGAAGCCACTAAGAGTTCACTGAGTGGGAGCAGTGGGGTGACAAAGTCAGACATGTACTTTAGAAGATCCCTTTGACAACAGAGAGGAGGATGGGCTGGAATGGGGAAAAACTTGTAACAGGGAGTCCAGCCAGTAGACTACAATGATAGTCCATACATGAAATGATAATGGCCTGAAATAGAGTGCTGGAAAGAAGAGGGCACATACAAGAAATGCTACGAAGGTAGAATCAAGAAGCTCTGATAATAGATTGGATATGGAGAGTGGGAGAAAGTGAAGAGTTAAGGATGTACTGTAAGATGGTAGCACCCTTGAAAACAAGAGGAAAGAAAGGAAGAGGCTTTAGGAGAAAGAAAATGAGTTAATTTTTGGATGTGTTAAGTTTAAAATGTCTATGGGACATCCAGTTCAAAATTACTAATAGGCAGTTGGATATATGAGTCTAGAGGTAAACAGAGAAGTCAGGACTAAATAAATAGATAAGAGAATCATCAGCATAGAGATGATAACTATTCCAAGACAGCTGAGATAACCAAGGGAAACAATACCGAATGAGAAGAGGAGAAGGGTCAGGAAAGAAACTTGAAGGAATTCCAGTTAGTGGGCATGGCATTAATGAAAATCCAGAAATGGAAACACAGAAGTGATCAGACAGATAGGAGGAGAACCAGGATAGAGTAATGTCCTGAAAACCTAGAAAGAAAAGAGCATCAAAAAGGGGATGACTGCCAGTGTCAAAGGCTGCAGTGAGATCCAGGATGACAAGTGAGAAAATGACAAATGAGAAAATTAGATTTAACAATTAAGAGATCTTTGATTTTGTTCGGAGAGAACAAAGAGAGTGAAAAAATGGGAAGTAGAAGCATGATTGTAGATACCTTTCTTAAGGACTTGAGCCACAAAAAAGAAGAGATATGGGATGGCTAGTAAGGACAAAAAAGTTAAGGGAAAGTCTTCTGAAAATGAATGAAAATTAAGAATGGGTAAGGCAGAGCACGTATACAGTCACTCACACACACACACACACACACACACACACACACAAAGGGAAGAAGTCAGTAGAGAAGAAAAAACAGAAAACTAAAATGATTAAAAAAAAAAAGGCTCCTGATTTGAGGAGATAAAGAGCATGGTTTCTGATATGAAGAACTACCTCACCATCTAAAACCTGAGTAAAGTTTTACTTGGAAAGTAAAAAATGATGGAGTATCATGAATTAGCTTAAAGATAGAACACCAGACTTGAATCAGAAAAATATGCACTGGAATCCCAACTCAGACATTTACTGAATGCATGATCATGGACAAGTCAATTAACCTCTCTCACATCTTTATCTTCCTTATAAATTACATGGAAATAATATAGCACACCTGCCTTCCCGGGCTGTCATAAGAATCAAATAATATAACATGTGGAAAGCGCTTTGCAAAGCTTAAAGTGCAATATACATGTTAAGTATTATGATTAACAATAATCATTAGAATAAATTTTTCATTAATTTTTTTTATTCTGAACTTAACCATCAGAAAAAATGAACATCTCCTTACACACAATAGAACAGAAAAAGATGATTGTACATGATACTGCAGGCCTCTACTGTATACAGTTTTCTATTTAAACATACAGTTTATATAATAAATTTAACATGGAATTTTCAAAAATGCCCAAATAGTCTACTATTCCTTCTGGACTTTTTTTTTTCATTCCCTGCTGTGCATTTTAAAAATGTACTTTTCTTTCTTATTTTTGGGTACTTTATTCCTATTTTCTATCCCTGACTGCACTCCTCCATTGTGGGAGAAGGGGAGATCAAAAATTCAACTCAATTAACATTTATTAAGCACATTCTATATGTCAGACACTGTGCTAAGCACTGGAGATACAAAATGAGGCAAAACACAGTCTCTGCCCTCAAGGAGCTAACAATCTAATTAAAATAGCTATAACAAATATGCACAGACACAAGCAAAATAAATCTCCACACTGGTTATGCCAAAGATTTTATCTCTCATTCTGCATCAGAGTCCATGACCTTTCTGTCAAGAGGCAGATAGCATGCTTTAACATCTTCTTTACACACATGGTTAGTCAACTGGCATTCTTAAATATTTTAAAGTTGTTTTGCTTTACCTTACTGTGGAATAAACTATCTTCTTGGTTCTACTCACTTTTCCCTGTATTATTTCATACCAGTCTTTTAAGGTTTCTCCAAAACCATTCCTTTCATTATTTCTAATATTCCATTACAGTCATAAAACATAATTTCTTATTATTAGTAATAGTAATAACTAACATTTATGTAGCACTTTAAGGTTTGTAAAGCACTTTATAAATATTATCTCATTTTATCCTTACAACCAACCTGGGAGGAAGGTGTTATTATTATCCACATTTTACAACTGAGGAAACTAAGGCAGATGGAGGTTAACTGACTTGCACAGGGTCACAAAGTGATTAAGGATCCAAGGCTGGATTTGAACTCAGGTCTTTCTGACTAGGCCCAGTACCTGACTGCACTGCCTAGCTGCCCAGACTAAACAATGCCTTATTCAGTTATTGTTCCATTGTTGGGCACCTCCTTAACTTCCAGTTACTTGCTATTACAAAAAGAACTGCTCTAAACATTTTTTTTTTAACAAAGTGGTGCTTTCCTCTATCTTTAATCCTTTGGGATTACAGGCCTACCAGTGGTATCTCAGAGGGGATGTAGAGTTTAGCAACTTTGGGAGAACAGTTCCAAAGTGTTTTCCAGAACAATTGGACTAATTCACAGCTCCATCAACAACAGTCCATTAGTATGCCTGTTCTCCTACATTCTCTCCAACAACTGTCATTTTCCCTTTTTCGTCACCTTTACTAGTCTGGTAGGTGTGAGGGAAACTTCAGAGTTGCTCTTATTTGCACTTGTCTTACAGTGGTTTTGTGGTATAGTGGAAGGAAAAAGAAGATCAGGTCTTAATGCTTTAATCTCTCTCATAAAGTAAGAGACTTGATTATCAGCTCAGAGGAAAGGATGCAGGATGAGGGCTGGGGATTATGAGAAATGAATGACTTGTAATAATCAATGCTAGGGGGGCAGCTAGGTGGCACAGTGGATAGAGCACCAGCCCTGGAGTCAGGAGGACTTGAGTTCAAATCCAGTCTCAGACACATAATATTCACTAGCTTTGTGACTCTGGGCAAGTCACTTAACCCCAACTGCCTCATTAAAAATAATAATAATGACAATAATCAATATCAGGAATATAATAGAGAACTGATTAGAAATCAATGAAGGGAATGCCATCTCACACTGACAGGCCAATTGGTAGCAGATAACTTAAACTGTATAGATCTGATCAGGATGGTCTCATGATTTCCTCTAGTAACATCAGGCAGCTAAAAAGAAGAAGTGACTAAATCTGATGGTGAAGTCTACCTATGGATTGTACATCAGCAGATGGGTATGGTATAAGCACAAAACAAAATCAACAAATACAGATGCAAAGGGTCCAGACGTAAAATATAGAGTGCATGACTGCAATGGTAGAACATTTTTAATCTAAATTCTATTGCAAATAAATATTGGTTTTTCCTATTTTATAATCCCCCATCTTTATTTAAAAAATCATCATCTAAAAAAAATTTCTAAGATAATACATAAAGATTCAAATATTTGGAATCTTACCTCTGCTCTTTTCAGCATTTCCCATTTATTCAGTATTTTCATGGCAAATACTTTATCGGCATTTTTTAGTTTTACAACAGCTACCTAGAAAACAAGATAAAAGGACAAACTTTAAAAATATAAAAATACATAATTATGAAGGACTTAACTATTCTCAGCAATATAATGATCCAAGAAATCCCAAAGGACTCATGATTTAAAATGCTATCCGCCTCTAGGGAAAAAACTGATGGCATCTGAATACAGTCCAAAGCATATCATTTTTCACTTTCTTTCTTTTTTGTTCGAACTTTCCTCGACAAAATGACTAATACGTAAATGTTTTACATGATTGTACATGACCAACCTATAGCAGATTGCTTACCATCTCAGGGAGGGGATATGAAAGGGAAGGAAGCATAGAATTTGGAACTCAACTTAAAGAAAAAAAATGTTAAAAATTGTTTTTACATGTAATTGGGAAAAATAAAACTTTTTTTTTAAATAAATGAAAATATGTACTTTGGGCTGTCATTATTTTCCTTACATCTATCTGGAAACAAGTAGAATATCCCTAAGCCTTTAGTCTTGCAGAAGATACAAAGTCTTATATTTCCAACAGTCAGAAGAGTATAGTGCTAGACTATATTACCCACTGGCTAATAAGTAGAAATATTTCTGAGGGGAAAGGCATTGCATTTCAAAAGTAGGCATTAATAAAAGTATCACTTCTAGGTTTCTAGATATTTTGCATTACATCAAATAACTCCTATTACAACCTGGGCTTCAACCAAAATTTACAATATTAAAAAATTAAGTATAAACAAGAAATTCTAACAAATTTAATTAGAAATACCAGCAGCCAAAATAAGTATGTTTAATGAAGATGATATTTTTTCAACTGATTACAAAGTAAACAGAAAAATTCCAATTTTTCATATCCTACAAAAATGGTCAATTTTCAGTTGGCTATCAAACTTAGACTTCTCTTTCAGAATGCTATAATTTAATTAGATATCTCTAACTTATTATGGACTCCAAAAATAACATATTTAAATGGCAAGATTTATACCCATCTCTCCCGCAACACAAATACTCATCAACCTATCCATCTGGAAACAAAATAAATGCAGAATCATTCATACATTTACATTCATATATGAATGAGTAAGAATATAGGGAAGAACACTAGAATTTGAAGACCCAAGTTTGAGTTCAAGCTCTTGAAAGATATAAGCCAAATAAAAACAATTTAACCTACGTAAAAATTATAATATTAACATCTGCACTACATGACTCTTACATGGATCATGAAAGAACTTTGTAAATCTTATAGCCTTAGCACCATTATCATGATCAAGTATTAAGTATTAAGCCTACTTCAACCATCAAGCACGCAATGTGTCCTTGGGTAAATAATTTGTCTTCTCAGGACCTCAATAAAATGAGAAAGTTAAAATAATTACCTCTAAGATCCCTTCTAGGCTCTTAAAGATTCTATCACAGCATATATCATGTGTTTTCTAAGACTTGAGTACATATACTTTCTTCTTTACACATGTACACAGGGTTTCAGAGGACCAGCCTAAGCTAAACCTAGCTACTTCATTAGTAGCCAGGTCATTTGTTGATAGATTATTTGGTGATAACAATACATAAACAAAAATAACAAAATGGAATGGATATCAAGGCTGTGCGGTCACCTTACACTTCTTCATTGATAGCAGGGAGGAAAGGGGAAGAGGTTAGACGGTAATAAGAATGACATAGTAAATTCAATTATTAGGCCATATATAAACTTTAACTTAGTTCTAGGTACAGCCAATGTGAGATATCTTGCCTAATGACTAAAGGGTGGAAATAATAGTAGAAGAACTCAATAAAATCAATCTTGACTCTTATTATATATGAAATGAGAAAAACAAAGAAAGTTTTAACTACATGATATTATGGCACGCAACAGCTGGTAGAGTGGGGTTTACTGCATATTTGGGAGCAATAAGAAGGAACATTTCACTGAATATTTAGTCATCCTGTACTGCAGTGCTCCTAAGTACTTGAAAAAGACTACTATGAAAATAACTGTAGCTTGATAGCTAATCAACAAAAAAATTTTCAACACCTATTTGCAAGGCATTGTATTAGGTGCTGGGAATACAAGCATGAAGAATTAAACAATCCTTTTTCCCTACATATTCTAATGAGCAAGACAACAAGGATATACACCTAAGCACATGCAGAATAAATACAAATCACTACTCAAAATAATTTGGGAGAGGGGATGCTAAAGTAATTTGGAGAGTAGAGGAGGATCAGGAAAGACTCCATGTAGAATGTAACACTTGAGCTATGTCTTTTAAGGAAAAGAAGGATTCTGTGAAGCAGAGTTGAGAAGGGAGTGATATCTAAGCACAGAGGACTACTACTGAAAAGGCATGGAGAAGGTTAGAGTGTCAGGTGTGAAGAACAGAAAGAAGGTCAATTTGGTTGTCAAAGAGTAGAGGACAAGAAGCAATGATCCATGAAGCTAGAAAAATACAATGGAACCAAGTTGTGGCAAAGTTTATCTATCAACATCTGCTGCAGAGGATAAAGGAGAGAAATTCTATGAAAAATCCATTAAGACCCTCCAAATTAAGTCAACATAAACCTTTATAATCAGTGACTTCAATGCCAAGATAGGAGTATATGGAGATGGCAAGAATTAAGTGGAAAATACAGATCAGGGAGGAGTTAAAGACTTATAGGATACCTCGACAGCTTATGCCTATACAATGAAGATTCAGTAGGAGCTAGACATCTGAAATATAAAATAAAATTTTCACAAGCAAAGCTGATTAAATTTTCAGAGAATGGAAACAACTCATTACTGAAGTAATTCCTATTGTATAAAATTGTATATACCAACTTATTGAAGCTAAGATCAAAACTGGTACAAAGATGCAAATGAGTTATTGATAACAAAAAAAAAGGACTACAGACAGAAGAAAGGCCACAAAAACTACAATAATTAATTTCATACATAATTTTAACCAATACAAGTCAATTGCCGTTAATCACATTTTTAAAAAATAAAAACTCATATAATTATAACGTAAGTACAGAAAATGCCTTTGACAAAGTATAACATTTATTCTAAAAACCCTAAAGTATGGGCATATAAAAGCATTTTCTTTACATGTATGTGTGTGTACACACATACATACTGCTTATATTTACATGAATACATACACATATTCCCCACATATCTACTCCTGCAAAAATCTAAAAAAGAACCAGAATGAAAAATGATAAAAAAGAAAATCAAATGAGAAAATACATTAAGTGCCTTGAACTGCACAAAAAAATAAGCCAGAAGCCCAAGGGCTATATTGAAAAGGAAAAAACCAGAAATGTCAGTGCTAAAAGAGGCTAATATCACAGAAGACTCCCAATGTGACCAGAGACATTTATAGTCTACAAGACTATCAGACACAGCAAAAACGGAGAGCTCCACCAGGAAAGTCTCAGGGGTGTACAGAAAACCAAAATGATGAGATAGCACAGACATGTTGGGGAGCAGTAGCACTCAGACCAGTATACCCAACCAAAAACCATAATGCACCATTGTATATGGCTTCTTCGTTTATATACAGTAAATTCAAAATATTACAGCAAAAATAGTTCCTGCCCTCAAGGTGCTAGTATTAAGGGCAACAATATGTACATAAATAATTGTATGCAAAATAAATGCAAAGGAAATGGGGGAAAAGGCAGCTAGCTTCGTCTTCTCCCCATGAAGAATGCTCATGGCATGTGTTATTTTTCAAGTGGAGCTGCTGGGCACAGGGGGAGGAAGCCAGAGAAAGATCTCAGTTCATTGGAGAACCCTACAGGAAAGCAGCAGGAAGGGACACAAAACCCAGAGCTCAGGAGGACTGGTGGGGATAGGGAGGCGTGAGGGACAGAATGGAGTCTGGGAATGTTGGGGGGAAAATAGACCTTTCTGGGTCCCAGGTACCTGGATCTGGGAACTTAACTTGGCTGAAGCCCAGGAGATGGCTCACAGGGGGCAAACAGCCAAGATGTGAAGGGACTTGAATGCCAGGCTGGGAACAATGCCTCTAGACAGTAGGGAGGGTAAAAAGCAGGAAAAGGACAGGATGGAAATATGATTGAGGATGCTAGGTTACTGGTCACTCTGGTGCTCCCCTCGTCTAGAACGCTCCTCTCCACCCACTCTATTCCTGAAACAGAAGGAGAAATTCCACCCCATGCCTACCTCAAAGACCTCATCCCTCCCCAGTTACCATCTAACCTACTTTTACAACACAGAACACAAGAGGTACTCTTAGAACATAGACTGTCCCAGCTGGAAAGGCCTTTAGAACATCCACTGTCAGAAATGAGAGTAATATTAATGATAAACTGTTAAAGCTGGACAGTTGCTGCAGCGGTGTCAAACTCACATAGAAATGGGGACCACTAAACCATACATTAGGAGCTCTGTGGGGCACAGAGTGACTTAGAAAACCAAATCTTAACACTATCAACATTTTATTTTAGTTCTATTTATTTTGTTAAATCTTTTCCAATTACATTTTAATCTAGTTCAGGGCGCACTAGGGAATGTTGCTGCCCATCTGACACTTTTGTCTTAGAACACAGGATGTCAGAGCGGGGAAGGACTTAACCCACACAAAATGTCAGAGCTGAGAAGCTAAGAGAACAGAGAATATAAGGGCTGGGAGAGCCCTTGGAACAGAGAATGTCAGAGCTGGAAGGGCCCTTAGAACACAAAATGTACAGTGCATTCAGAGCTCGGGGGACCATGAAAGGCTACCTGTTGAAGGTGATGCTTTTATAGATTTTTGAATGGATTCTCAGAGGGGAAGATAAAGTAGAAATGCATCCCAGGAATGAGGGGTCAACAACTGCAAAGACACAGAGAAAAGAAATGGCAATACCATGTGAGGAGTATCAAGAAATGTCCAATGGGTTGGACCAGGGAGTATGAGAAAGTGAATAATGAAAGGTAGATTAGATCCAGGTTATTAAGGGCTTCAAAAGTTAAACAAAATAAACCTAACCAAAAAATAAACAAGAAAGAAGTTAAGGAGATAAAT